CCTGACAAACTGTTCATGTAAATTTTACTGTAGCTGTACCACAAAAGACAGAACAACAGTGTGGAATCTGAATAGATAAATGAACAGTATAAACTAAATAATAACATTTAACAAATAAAAAGTACAGGGTAATGACAGTTATCTTGTGTTTTGTTTTGGAAAGTGAGTTGGATCTGAAGGAAGTATAACATTACTCTGTGCGGTCCAGATAGGTCAAATTGTGACTGATAGTTTTGATTGTGTAGCAGCATACTGTCTTGATAGCGTCAATCCTCAGAGTGTTAGAGGAGGTGAGGTGAAAGTTGAATCATAGCAGACACCTTAACAGGATGTTTGTGTCAGAATAAAAGCATGTTACACGAACCAGAAGAGACAGAATCATGACATTAATATGGCCTCTATTGGCTATTTGTGGAAAATTTGAACAGGACAGGTGTCAGTTGCGTTTTATCAATTTTTAACCATCCAGCTGCAGCCTTATAGGTTTGTTTATGTGAGACACAAAACATCTCCCAGACACAATTCATGATGACTCTTCATGTTACCGACATAAGACAGCAATCCTTCTGTGTTATGGTGAACGATGGTCAGAGTGTACGGTCTTCTCAGTGTTTGTCTGATCTGAAGAGGCAGCATCATGTCATCCATGTTGGCTTGTCTCATGGTCTCCAGGGCTGATGTGATCTCTGGATTCAAATATGATCATGTCTCATCTATGTCCAGTAGGTGCAGTCCACTAAGGGAGGTCACTCTGCTATGTAAGCCATGCCACGTTCACAAATGTGCCTCAGTGAAACTGCAGCTGATGATGTCATTCTCTGAACCTTGTGGATTATACCACTCCTTTATTTCAGGTTGTGTGCTCTTTATATGTAACACTTATATGTGTCAGCTGCACTCCATGCTCTGCGATAACTGTTCCGTCCAGCTGTTTCATTGTCTATTTTGGGTCCAAGCTTAGTTAATCATTCTGTTCAGCTCCTCAGGAATATTCTTGCTTCTCTTCAAAATTTTTCTAAACTTCATACTCCTGAAATATTTTGCTTTATTTTGAAAATCTTGCCCCATTCAAATCAATGGGGAAATTCTACTTCAGCATACGTTCAGCTATTTCAGGTATCAAAATGTTCACCTCTTCAAGGACATTCATGCTTCTATTCAAAAGTTTTCTATAATTCATACTTTTGAAATAATTAGCTTTATTTTGAAAATCTTGCCCAATACAAGTGCAGGGGGGAAATTCTACTTCAGCATACTTTCAGCTATCAAAATGTTCAGCTCCTTAAAGATATTCATGCTTCTATTCAAATATTTTCTAAACTTCATACTTTTGAAATATTTAGCTTCATTTTGAAAAATTTGCCCAATTGAAATGAATGGGAAATTCTACTTCAGCATACTTTCAGCTATTTCGGTTCTAAAAATGTTCAACACTTCAAGAACATTCATGCTTCTACTCAATTTTTCTAAATTTCATACCTTTGAAATATTTAGCTTCATTTTGAAAAATTTGCCCAATTGAAATGAATGGGAAATTCTACTTCAGCATACTTTCAGCTATCAAAATGTTCAGCTCTTCAAGGACATTCATACTTCTCTTCAGAATTTTTCTAAACTTCATACTTTTGAAATATTTAGCTTCATTTTGAAAAATTTGCCCAATTGAAATGAATGGGAAATTCTACTTCAGCATACTTTCAGCTATCAAAATGTTCAGCTCTTCAAGGACATTCATACTTCTCTTCAGAATTTTTCTAAACTTCATACTTTTGAAATATTTAGCTTCATTTTGAAAAATTTGCCCAATTGAAATGAATGGGAAATTCTACTTCAGCATACTTTCAGCTATCAAAATGTTCAGCTCTTCAAGGACATTCATACTTCTCTTCAGAATTTTTCTAAACTTCATACTTTTGAAATATTTAGCTTCATTTTGAAAAATTTGCCCAATTGAAATGAATGGGAAATTCTACTTCAGCATACTTTCAGCTATCAAAATGTTCAGCTCTTCAAGGACATTCATACTTCTCTTCAGAATTTTTCTAAACTTCATACTTTTGAAATATTTAGCTTCATTTTGAAAAATTTGCCCAATTGAAATGAATGGGAAATTCTACTTCAGCATACTTTCAGCTATCAAAATGTTCAGCTCTTCAAGGACATTCATACTTCTCTTCAGAATTTTTCTAAACTTCATACTTTTGAAATATTTAGCTTCATTTTGAAAAATTTGCCCAATTGAAATGAATGGGAAATTCTACTTCAGCATACTTTCAGCTATCAAAATGTTCAGCTCTTCAAGGACATTCATACTTCTCTTCAGAATTTTTCTAAACTTCATACTTTTGAAATATTTAGCTTCATTTTGAAAAATTTGCCCAATTGAAATGAATGGGAAATTCTACTTCAGCATACTTTCAGCTATCAAAATGTTCAGCTCTTCAAGGACATTCATACTTCTCTTCAGAATTTTTCTAAACTTCATACTTTTGAAATATTTAGCTTCATTTTGAAAAATTTGCCCAATTGAAATGAATGGGAAATTCTACTTCAGCATACTTTCAGCTATCAAAATGTTCAGCTCTTCAAGGACATTCATACTTCTCTTCAGAATTTTTCTAAACTTCATACTTTTGAAATATTTAGCTTCATTTTGAAAAATTTGCCCAATTGAAATGAATGGGAAATTCTACTTCAGCATACTTTCAGCTATCAAAATGTTCAGCTCTTCAAGGACATTCATACTTCTCTTCAGAATTTTTCTAAACTTCATACTTTTGAAATATTTAGCTTCATTTTGAAAAATTTGCCCAATTGAAATGAATGGGAAATTCTACTTCAGCATACTTTCAGCTATCAAAATGTTCAGCTCTTCAAGGACATTCATACTTCTCTTCAGAATTTTTCTAAACTTCATACTTTTGAAATATTTAGCTTCATTTTGAAAAATTTGCCCAATTGAAATGAATGGGAAATTCTACTTCAGCATACTTTCAGCTATCAAAACCATTCAGGTGTCAAATTGTTCAGCATTTTCAGAGCGATCTTTCAGCACTCAGCATCCATATCAATTTTCTTCAGAAAATGCATTTCTCTAGTTCAGTGATGCTGTTTGATTTTATTTAACACTGTTCTTTCTTCACTTTTATTGTGTATTTTCTTTTGTAAAGCATTTTGTAACTGTGGCTTAGAAAGGTGCTATGTGGGTCTCGGCCGCTAGGTTAGAACACACTGTTCTACACTTTGAAAACATCCACACTTGCACTCACCTATAGTCTTAAAATATTTCCCTTGCAACCAAATAATCTAACAAGTCCTGAAAAATGTCCAGCCATTTGTCCATTTTGCCAGAATAATTGCTGGTTAAGTATAGTAATTTAAAAAACATATTTGATGGAAACTACAGAACATCCATAGTTGAATGTAATAAATGACAAGTTTATTGTTGCACAAAATGTACAAAATAACAAGCAAATGGACGGCCCTTACCCACCCCTTAGCATCCCTCCCCTCCCTCTGGTTCATTTGCCATAATGAAGTTGAATTTCTGAAACCTACAGTATGGCTACGGCAAGTCCGATGGTCCAAGCCAAACGCATGGTAATTCTGAGAGACAACACATACCCAATTTCAGCATCACTGAACAATTAAAAATGAATAAAAACACCTTATTTACACATTTGTCAGAACTTTTACAACATGCCATCTATGTATTTATACAGACTATGCTTGTGCACATACCCCTGTATAGAAAATATATTATAAGATCAAATTAAATTAGACTAAGGGCTATCAACATCAAGTACAGCACTTCTTTTAAATCCCCTTTAGAATTTTTTTTTTCATTTCCCACTTATTCAATGACTTTGTCAACCTCATACTAAAAGAAGGAAGTATGCAGATGCTGATATTTCTTGTGGTTTTCCTTGAGGGCCCAAGCTGACCATGTAGATGCCTGTTGAGAAAAGCCTCACATACTGTATTTACACTGAAACACTCAGATCTCTTGCTTTAAAATGCACATGTAGAAATTCTACTTCTTGTGTGTCTAGTTTCTTGTTGTTGCAGCTGTTTCTCATCCTCATATGAAATTACAATGATAACATTGATGTTTTAAATGACTGTAAGGCTTCATCCTCTCAACACCCACTGCCTCAGGTCTGGCTTGATGATGTAAAAGGAGAGTAAAGCAATGAGCTTTGGCACTGAGTGAAGAAGCAAGTGTGCTGTGGCTTCCTAGAAAATGCCCCTTTCTTCTATCTTTCAAGTCACATCATATCTGATTCGTCCCTGTTTGTGCGCTTATATCAACCCGCAGCTGAAAGAAGATGTGCTGTTCTATGAGACTGAACATATTAGTGCATAAAAGGGATGAAGTAAAGCCTTTGTTGTTCTGCCAAATGATTCCTGTCAAACTAGTACACTGATGTCCAAACCATGTTAGCACCATGGAGAGAAAGAGAGCGAGTGACATTCAGGTAAAGCCAGACAAGATGCTCTGTGCTGGAACGTACAGAGGTTGGGGCACACATTACATTAGATGGATGGAATTTTTTTTGTGCCAAGGAAAAAACATATATCCTATGGATGGATGGGTTGGTAATGGGTTGTAATGGGCAATCAAGAATAACTCTGGGGAAAAATGAAGGTATCTTAGCAAGACTTTACCTCCTTTCCTTCAGCTGTATTGACACAGAAAAGAAATAAAACAGGTGGAAGCAAATCTCCGGAATATGTCCATCACATTGCTTCATAGTTCACCTGTAGGAGGAGATCAGTGCAGCTGAAGGAGACAGAAAGGCTACACCTCTATGTCTGCAGTGGCAAGAGCTTAATACCCCTCTGGACAAACTGCTAGTGTGATGGAGGGTCAGGAAATTCTCATCTGGAATCAGGTTTCAGGGTAAAAAGAGATGGTGTTTTTTCAATGTGTGTGCAAAAATATTTGTCAGACAACAGCTGGAACATGAACCCTCCTTTTTTGTACATTTTCAGGTTACTTCAGTTCTGACCTTAAATTTCTCGATATAACTTCCTCTTCCTATTTTTCATCTGCTGTTTATTTCACTTGTTTTATTATATAACTATATTTTCTTTTCTGGCTTTTTTCTCTTTTCTTACTTTACAAAATGAGAGACAGAATGATGGACAGCTGACTATATATAATTATTTTCCTCGTCCTATTATCATCAGGTTGCTCTTAACCTGGAGATGCTTTTCTTTGTTCATTGTCAAGAAACAGATTTATCAGCCACTGATTTTTGTTTCCTCCTCTTCCTCCTTTTTGTCCTCTTTCAAGTGCACTCCTTTTTCCCTCCATCTCTCTGCGGCTCTCCTCTTTCCTTCATTGCAGGAGGGCCCTGATTTGTTTGGAGGTGCTGTCATCATTTAGATGTCGTGTCGTGTACCTGAAGAACAAGGTGACAAAATGTTGATATAAAGTTTTTACTGCTCCTTGTCCTCATGTTTTTTTTTGTTTTGTTTTTTGTTGTTTGTTTTTTTTAATCAGGAACACACACAGATTCACACACACCTCAGTGCATTCAGAAGTCCCTCCACGCTGTTGGACGGTTGCTCTTTCAGCACCTTGATGCAGCCCTTCATCTGCCCAGGACAAAGACAACACAGGGTGTTAAAGAAAGGTCAGCAGCCTCAGATCCACCTCATCTCCTGTTGCTGCAGCCAAACACTGACTCAGACACATAGATTTATAAAACTGACCTCATCTACCAAAGTTGAATACAGTGCCTTGCGAAAGTATTCGGCCCCCTTGAACTTTGCGACCTTTTGCCACATTTCAGGCTTCAAACATAAAGATATAAAACTGTAATTTTTTGTGAAGAATCAACAACAAGTGGGACACAATCATGAAGTGGAACGAAATTTATTGGATATTTCAAACGTTTTTAACAAATAAAAAACTGAAATAAATGCACCTGCACTGTGATAGTCTCAGAGGTCTGTTTAAAGCGCAGAGAGCATCATGAAGAACAAGGAACACACCAGGCAGGTCCGAGATACTGTTGTGGAGAAGTTTAAAGCCGGATTTGGATACAAAAAGATTTCCCAAGCTTTAAACATCCCAAGGAGCACTGTGCAAGCGATAATATTGAAATGGAAGGAGTATCAGACCACTGCAAATCTACCAAGACCTGGCCGTCCCTCTAAACTTTCAGCTCATACAAGGAGAAGACTGATCAGAGATGCAGCCAAGAGGCCCATGATCACTCTGGATGAACTGCAGAGATCTACAGCTGAGGTGGGAGACTCTGTCCATAGGACAACAATCAGTCGTATACTGCACAAATCTGGCCTTTATGGAAGAGTGGCAAGAAGAAAGCCATTTCTTAAAGATATCCATAAAAAGTGTCGTTTAAAGTTTGCCACAAGCCACCTGGGAGACACACCAAACATGTGGAAGAAGGTGCTCTGGTCAGATGAAACCAAAATCGAACTTTTTGGCAACAATGCAAAACGTTATGTTTGGCGTAAAAGCAACACAGCTCATCACCTTGAACACACCATCCCCACTGTCAAACATGGTGGTGGCAGCATCCTGGTTTGGGCCTGCTTTTCTTCAGCAGGGACAGGGAAGATGGTTAAAATTGATGGGAAGATGGATGGAGCCAAATACAGGACCATTCTGGAAGGAAACCTGATGGAGTCTGCAAAAGACCTGAGACTGGGATGGAGATTTGTCTTCCAACAAGACAATGATCCAAAACATAAAGCAAAATCTACAATGGAATGGTTCACAAATAAACATATCCAGGTGTTAGAATGGCCAAGTCAAAGTCCAGACCTGAATCCAATGGAGAATCTGTGGAAAGAACTGAAAACTGCTGTTCACAAACGCTCTCTATCCAACCTCACTGAGCTCGAGCTGTTTTGCAAGGAGGAATGGGCAAAAATTTCCGTCTCTCGATGTGCAAAACTGATAGAGACATACCCCAAGTGACTTACAGCTGTAATCGCAGCAAAAGGTGGCGCTACAAAGTATTAACTTAAGGGGGCTGAATAATTTTGCACGCCCAATTTTTCAGTTTTTTATTTGTTAGAAAAGTTTGAAATATCCAATAAATTTTGTTCCACTTCATGATTGTGTCCCACTTGTTGTTGATTCTTCACAAAAAATTACAGTTTTATATCTTTATGTTTGAAGCCTGAAATGTGGCAAAAGGTTGCAAAGTTCAAGGGGGCCGAATACTTTCGCAAGGCACTGTATGTACCATACAGAAGCAAACATGTCTGTGTAAGACTAGGCCTGTGGTTTCTAACCTTTTTGACTTGTGGCTGTTCAAAATGAAGTCACTCCTCTGGGTTTTTACAGCTTGACTCTATTTTAACTAATAACACACAAATTATTTTTTTCTTGTCCATGTTAACTACTGTACATCATTCAAATGTTCAGAGAACCTGAAGAAGAAATTTGTGTGTTTTGAACATTGATTGTGTGTACTCACATCAATTTTGGAGGTCTTGGCAAAAGCTCCAACAGGGTGAACATGGTCATAGAGAATGATGACGCCCACCATCACCCTCATACAGAACAGCATGGTGTCTGTGTTGGTGAACCGACAGCGGTACTCACTGGAACAAAAACAGTTATGGAGGTTGTGAGTTGAACAAAAAGGTATTAAGAAAATAATTAAAATCAGAGAACAAGATGGTGACTAAAAGATGACAGACAACTGCTGCTGTTATTTGAAGCACTTTGTGATTAACGACAAGTTTCTGATTCAGTTCACACAAAGACATTTAATAAAAAGATTACACATTTTAAATGTATTGTAGCGTGAAGGACCTGGATCATCTCTGTGTCCACTGAATTAGGAAATCAGTCTACTGAATTAGCGGCTCAAAGATGAGGAGGATTCTTCTGTGTTCATTTTGAAAGGACCTGTTAATTAGAATTTAGGCTTCTGACTTTTAGAGAGAGGGAGAAAGACAGGGGGAAATGGCAGAGTGAAGGCATGATGGAGAGAACTCAAAATGTTGAGATGACTCACGGGGTCTCCAGCATGACACGACACACGCAGGCCATGGTGCTCAGACAGTCTGTGGTGTCCTCTATGGGCAGGGTCTTATTCTGAAAAAAGAAAACAGAAATCACATATAACAGTCCTGCCGCCCGCATTTCTTTGCGGTCATTTTTGTCTCTTTTTAATCATTTTGCATAAATATTTTTTCATTTTGCGTCTCTTCCGAGTTGTTTGATTGACTTTCCAACAAGACAACTTCTCACATCATAAAGCCACTCTGGAACAGGGGCTCCTGGGCCTGTGCCCGGTATATCCTTTCACTAATCCATTCATGCCCTTCCATCACTAACAATGATGTGCTTGAAAATTCCTCTGTACAGTAGTTTTGTGTTGACTGGACAAAATGTTCTACCACAAGGTGGAGACAGAACACATCCACTGAGTTCAAGCTTTGCTAGAAGGCAATCATGACCTGTTCCTCTAAATTTTGTATGAATCTCAGTATCAGGATGCACTGAAGTGTAAAAATAAATAAGACTGCTGTCCCTGTGATAAAATACAGTTTTGACAGCAATGGAAAAAATAAGGGGGTAAGTTTCCACGCAACAGTCCAGCACACGTGTGTACACAGACATAAGCAGAATAAAAACCACAACCTCGTATATTAACTGAGAAAAGATGACTAGTCGTATGATAGTAATGTAGTGTTAATTGTTGCTTAAGTTAACCAACTGTTTGCTCTCATCTGCATGTATGCCCTGGCCATTTAGCACAGGATGTCTTGACAGGTATATTGTTATTGGCTGTCTTC